GCGGGGTGTGGCTTATGGGGGCTGAATCGCGTGCTCTCAAATTTGACGGTCGCTGTGCGATTTAGAGTTGGGTTGGGTTTTGGAAACCACGAATCGGTCGTGGATCGCTTGCGTACACGTTGTTGAACTCAACAGCGCGATATACCAGCATGAATTTTTTCAATATTTATCATTAAGTAAATTCTGATGAAAATTAATTCCGAAGTTCATCTCTTATACATAGACTCTTATGGAAAGTAGTCTCAAAAGGATAGTCACGTCAAGTGCAATATCTAAAATAGTTAAAGGGATTGTTTTTGAAACCTATGTACACGAAACATAAATGTTATAGAATCTGATTCCGAAGTTTGATCTAAACTCACCGCTGAAAATCATAAATTGAAATGTGCAGAAGAACTTGAGTCACTAGATTATACAGGGAGGAGGTTATGCGTGGAACGGAGCCGTGTGCACGGCGAGAGGGATCTCCCCCCCCCCCCCCTCCCACCCTGCTCTTCCCGTACAACAGCATCGAAGATCCGTAAGATGAGTCGGGAGATGAGGTCAGTCAGTCGTTGGCAATCAGCCGTTCTTGATTAATAACCATCGTTACGTTGACTAGTCGGACATTCAAAACAATAATCGGCACCTCTCTTCCGTGACTTCACTTGTTTAATGCGCATGGCTACTCTCCGGGTAGATCCAGGGCCGTACGCCAGAGCTAGAGTCAGCGCAAGTGCCATGCTCACTCTCGAATTTGGTCACGGTTCAATGATAAACTAACGGTATGCTGAAATTGTTCGGCGACCCACGAGCGAAGCGGAGTTAGAAAGAGAGAGAGAGAGAGAGAGAGAGATGCAAGTATGAAGAAAACGAAGATAATAGCTAGGGAAAAAGACCAAACGAACGCGGAAAAAGCAATCCGTGCAGATTGTCTTTGGACCAGCAAGCTCCGCCTATGGCTGCAGCGGCGCATCGCCAAGGAAACAGACAGCGGAGGGGGCGAGCGGTGGAAAAGCTACGAGCGAAGGAACGAAAGACCGAGCTCGGGTTTCGAGGAGTGTAAAGGGCATTTTGTGTTATTTTGTCTTTGTCAAGCGGCGTGCGTCGTTGTATTTGTTGTATCGAATAATCTTTATCAGCTGAAGCACTCTGTCCGTACAACTGTGTCGATCTTGTTTACACTTGCTCGCCCGGTCCGCACAGTAATAAATCTTATCAAAAAAATGCTCCTCGAAATGTATACTCGCAAGTCACAGTGGGATCAGAGCAACAGCTTAAGTAATTATTGCCCACTGAACCCGCGTCGAGCACGCGCCAGACTCATTCTGTTGCGGTTGGCTTAGCGAAATCTACAAATTCTAGATGCGAAAATGAAAATCAGTACTGATTAAAGGTTATGCAGCGCCAGACACGCGCTGGATAATAATGCCGAGCTAAGAACGTTCTCCCTGCTGCCCGTTCCGTACAATTAAAATCTAGCCATATTAAGCAGGCGTAGTAAAGGCGCAACAACCTGCGGTGGCCCCACCGATGCCCAGTCTTCTCACTGCCTATCGCCCCAACACCTTGCTGCTACTTGTTACACGCTTACTGCAACGACACGTCCTTTAGTCTAGACCTTCCCGTGGCGGATTAATGGCCGCGATATAGAGTAGTTGTTTGTTACGTGTTTTTTCCGCTGAACACGAATATGCAACTCTCAAGCCCGTTGGAACAAAATAATCACTTTTTAAAAATATAATATAACGAAATAATGTATTGATGTGCATTAAACCATTCGTTTTTTTAACAATGAATACGACCGTTTTTTCGATTTCGAAAAAATTCATATGGGCAATATGGTGGTATCGCTAAAATAGTGTAAGTAACTTTGTTCACCACTTGCGTGCAACATTTTTAAGATATGTCCGGCTCGATTTATCACACTTGAGGTCTGCCATGTCTCATTTTTAAAGAAAATACGGAACATTTGGAACAGGATGTCGCATTATTAATTAAGTAAAAAATACAGAAATATTACTTACTGACATTGAATAACTAGATATTCATAGAAGTTCGTCGGCACTTACGAGCACGCATGGTGCAGCTTTATCACAATTTAAATAAGATATTGATATAAAAGTACACATTGATATGTAGCTTTTAATTCGAGGAATAAGTTTGAATACATTCTTCTTTGTAATTGTCAACATTAAGTTTGGTTTAATAGCTCATAAACAAATGGAATTTACTTTTTTTGTCAACATTCATTGCACAAAATAACCGATCCTCTATAGAACATTACATAATCTCTATAGAACATTCTTAAAAATAAGGCATTCCAGAGCCTGATAAATAGAGCTAAAGATATTTTTAAAATATTGCTCACATTTCATGAACAATAAGGTTGCGAACATTACTTTTGCGATAACTCTTGTTCATATCGACTTTACCGAAATCGGAATAAACGGTCCTAATAGGTATTGAAAAGCAAAAAATTTGGTCTGTCGTACGTGTCGATAGCTTGTTTAATCAATGATAATTTTGTAACAATAATTTTCACTTGACAAGTTTTCAGAGTTGCATAATATGCGTGTTTAGTGAAAAAAAGTCGTAAATCTAGTGTATAGCATGACCATCAATCGGCTATGGGAAGGTACCCTGCGCCTAGACTACTTACGCTGTTGTCATCTGACTTTCCAAATGCTGGCTACTTGAGAAATGATTGGTCGTCGCAATCAGTCATATATTGCAGTTGACTTGAAAATTGATAATCATCAGTTGTCGAAGCTTTTTCTCGGCATTCTTATGCCACGTAAATAGCAAGATAAGTATGTAAAAGAATTAACTACTGGTAACTGGCTTGCGCACACTACGTGGCTCGTACAGTCGAGCACAGCGAGCAAGAATTTTAGTAACGAGGCAGTCCATCAAGCGATTATCTGTGTTACGCGCGCCAAATTATAGGCCAGCGCATAAAGTTTAATCAGTGGTCTGTAACTGACGCGCCGATTATCAAATAAAATAGCTGACAACGATCACAAGCAGAAGCAGTACAGCCGAGGTTGTGGCACTAGCCCCCTCTTAGAACCATTACTCGTCATTATTGCGCGCGCCGCGACGCGATTATCGCGTGCTTCGATAAAAAAACGAAGGCAATAATCGCGCTGCGGAGCTTCCGCGTTCTGCTTCCAAAAACCGCTGCCAAGCGTCCGACTCCGGCTAATAAATCCTCGCGGCCGCGGCGCAAACTTGTGGCGCCTGCGCGTAGACTCGCGCGCGCGCGCGCGACAGATCGACCGCAACCGAAGCGAAAAGGCCCGAGCCCATTTTTCGCTGCTGGCGCTCCAAGATATTGCTCCGATCAAAGTGACCGTGCACGCGCGTTGTCCGTGTAGCCGCAGCAAATCGTGCGAAATCGCAGCTCTTGATACTGGCATTCGTCCGAGGGGAACCGGATCAATCAGGAGTTTAAGGAAGCATAGAGCACTGCCGTGAGCAGGCAGAGGTGAACGAGCGATGGAAAGGTTGCCGCGTTCGCGGTGGCAGCGGCCACGGCGCCGGCTTGGCGGGCCACGAGGGCGCGAGGGGAAGGAGCTCCGAGCGAAAAAACAACGGACGATGCCCCCCCTTTCACTATCTAAGCCACTCGGCTGGCGCGCCCATGCACGTGCTGCAGCGTCGTTCGCTCCGCGCCGGACTGCAAAAGTCGGCCCGTTGCACGCAGTAGCAGCCAAAGTTTGCCTGTCCCTGCTACTGGGCTCTCTAACCGGCATTCCATTTCAGTTCCTCCTCTCCGCGTAAACGAGTAAACAATGCTACGTCACCTGGCACGGTCGTCGCTTTGTAACGGCAATCCTGACAGATTATGCACATTCGACGTTTTACAAGTATGTATATCGGGGCCTCGTTAACTTACAATTTGATTGTCGTAGCCTGCTCTTCCTGGAAGATTAATTCATCTATTCAATTTACCGGACCGATGCAAAACATCTCAACAGAGTGCACATTCATCACTACAATGTAACGTTTAATTCGAATTTTACGTATAACGCTAAAATTGATCCCGTAGGCATGCAACGTCTAGTTGAACAATGTGAATAATGGACCGGGCAAACTGGAAAGAGAACTTTTGCGCGCGATTATACGCAGCCACGATTGTTTGCCTTTGGATAATAGAGTTTAGATGGTGAGAACATGATGCTGGAATTTGAAAATTAGAACGATATAGCCTGCTGATTATTTTGCATTTTATCGTCTTACGCAACTTTGTTTCAAGCTCTACACTTACTATAACGTTTGTTTAGGATTTTCGATTTCACGGATTCACTTGAAATCGGACAAACAATAGTATTTAACAATTACACTTATCAAGACGTGCAATATAACTTGATTTCTAAAAGTAATAAATGAAACTAAAATTTCTTTAAAGTTTGAAAACCTCGCTAAAGAGAAAGGCATTGACTCAAGCACGCGTAATGACTATAAAGTGAAAGATATTCGAAATATTTTTAAGAGATTGTTTGCAGTGGTGGTATGCAATTACGCAGAACGCTGTGTACATGGTACTCAGAAATTGTTAGTGAGAGCAGTTAGCGAATTAGTTTCAATCTAGTCAGGTCTTTACGAAGTGGTTACTTGGGAAAATGAAGTGAGACGCACAGAATCGCCACTGACACACTGATTGTGAGATCGCTTAATTGCAATAGCTCAATTTCAAGCAACAGCTATCCATATTTTTATCGCGATAAAATCTGGAATAAAATACACGCGGAGAAAGTCAAACGTATTCTTGTGTTTTTACGAGTCGACTGGCGAACTTGGAGAGTTTTACTTTTATGTTCCGTTCGTAGAAGCATAGCCCGTTCCATAGTTCTTTAGCCAGTGATTTATGTAGAAAGAAAGTAATAAAAATAATTAAATTGGTGTAATTAGCCCGGAAGTAAGATAATTTGGTTAAGAGCTCCCACATTACATCGCTCGATTGCCAAATTACTTTTCCTTATTTTATTTATTAAATGAATATTGGCTTATTTCAGGATGCCAATTTTATCCTGCCGGAGAATACTTGAAGTTCGTGAGGCTTCCGGAAAGCTTAGAAGTAGGATCGGACGTAGTAACTTTGGAGGTTCACCCGAGGAGCAACCTCAACATTATGCCAGTGGACAGGGTAAATGATGAGGCCTAATCAATTAGTTGACTGGTCGACGAGTGCTTGAAACGTGATGTGCGAGAATGGATTTTGGCGAAGCAATAAAAAGAGAAAGAAACGTGGTTGGTGTTGCAGGAAGAAGACTCGAAGTACTTCGCTTACAAGGACGTAAACAAAACGCACGTGTCGGTGGTGTTGGCTCAGTCGCTGGAGGATCTGGTGGACGCGGACGCGCCTCGTAATCTGTTAAAGTTTCGCTTGAGCTGCGATTACTCGGACGGCACCAACTCGCTGGTAAGTAGCACTCTCTCTCTCTCTCTCTCTCTCTGGCGAATCGCAATTTTAATAAACTCGTCGGCTTTAATTCGCGCGGAGTAACGAGCGGCACGCACACTACACTCGACGTCGCGGCGGCTCATCGCGTAAAACTCGCGGAGCGCGCGCATGCCGCTGCAGCTAATATTGCGGCCTTGCGGGCGCAGGGCTCGCTAGCTCGGCTTTTTCGACGATATACTGGCGCACAACAGACCGAGGCTGCAACTGTGGTTAATTAATTAAATCGTCAGCAGCCTCCTCAAGGCTCCAGCGCGGCTACGCGAGGACGCATCCTTGCGATACGACACGACCCTCGGCTTATTTATATTAGCTACGCGCCAACACTTGTGTGCCCTGCGTGATCTGCCTCAACTTATTTCTTCCAATTCTTACTGCTGCTTCTCTCCCACTCTCCCCCCCCCCTCTCGCTTTTATAGCACTATAAACAAATCAATTCCTTCTTGTATCTCCAATGCTTTCTCTCCGCCAAATGAAAAGCTGCAGGTTTGTCATATTTGCGTTTCATTCATAAAAACTGAAAAATTAGAATGAATTACCTAATAACTATCATTTCCGAGAATGAAGTCGTAGAAAATTGTGCGCACGACAAAGGGGCCTCCGCACGTGATGAATATCAATAACCGGAGAACTTGAAAGTAGTCAAGTAAAAAAAAAGTCTTAAATTAAAAGCAGTAAAAACAAGTCGTGAATATGAGGAGTGAAAAGGGAGCGTGAAAGGAGAAAATTGAAGGAGCTGCTGCTGAATAGCCGGCAGATCTGCGACAACTTTTCAAGGATAAAATCTTTGCCTATACCTTCCGTCCGAAGTATCTTAAAAACTCTTTCAATTACCCGGGATTAGTAAATGTTGCTGGCCTAGAGCCTGCGCGTACTTTCTCAAATACGCCCATCGATACTAGTTTTTACTTTTAAGTCGCCTTAACTCACAGCTGTTTGCCGTTATTTCAGGTCTCGTCGCACTTGTCTGTGACAGTCTATGTGGAGGACGTTAATGATCACGCGCCACAATTTGTCGATGCCCCATATCACGTTACCGTCGATGAGCTTTCTCCTACAGGTACGTCTGCTTTTTAATAACCCACCTAAGACTACCTTCTCTTGACAATGCAATTGTCACGCCTGAACCTTATTTTTTCAATTGATCTCTTCAGCCTGACTGAAAGTTCGTAAAAATATTACATTTTCAAATCTTAAAGCAGTTGCATATACATAATTCTGGAAATAGATTTGATAGATATTGATTTTTGTCAGTTTGCATTTCGCACCGAAACGTGAAAATCATTAGTAATCCGTTACGTTGCAGGTCTTACGGTATTCCGAGGAATTCACGCTTTTGACAAAGACAAACCAAATACGCCAAATAGCGATGTACATTATGCTGTTATAAAAGGCAACGAAGAAGGAAAGTTTGCTTTAGAATCAGGACACAGAACTGCTCTAATTCTGAAAAAGCCGTTAGATTATGACGCCGGTGATCGAGAATATATTCTTGAAATTACTGCTAGCGTAAGAGCTTAAACAATTTCATAACGATGTATTTAATGTGTTCTTTATAAAATAAATGTCGAATGGCAGGATCGCGGGACACCAGCGAAGAGTGCAAATACGACGGTCACGATAAGAGTAGTCGACAACGACGATCTGGATCCAAAATTCACTCAGGACGTTTATCACACGCAGATCTTCGAGTTCTACCCTGTGCCGGTAAAACGTCACGCGTTCAATTGTTAACGGCCACTGAAAAACGAAGCAAATTGACTTAACTCTAGCTCTCGTTCGAATGGCCACGATTATTTAAACTTTGCAGAGCGGAGGGGTTCACAAGGAAATCGAATTCGCGACGCCTGTACGGGCGATAGACCAGGACCGCGACATCGACGTTCCGGTGCGCTACGACATAATATCCGGCAACGAGCGTGGGCTGTTCCATCTGGATCCGCGCAACGGCACACTCTTCCTCGAGCGCGCGATCGACCTCGACGCAGAGCGCAATTTGGCCCGCAACACGTTCGTTCTGCAAGTTCACGCCAGTCAGATTGACAATCCGCTGAAGCTCGCCGTTGCCAGAGTGGAGATTCAAGTTCTCGATCTCAACGACAACTTGCCCGAATTCGAAGTCGACTTTTACAACATCAGTATCGTCGAGAACCTCCCCAATGGGTTTAGCGTGCTGCAGGTTTGTTAGCATAACGAAGGAAAGACTAACTATCATGGCAGAGCCGGTGATAAACGACAGGCGTGACTCGGCTGGCCAACAGGTGATAGCGTACGACCGCGACGAAGGAGAGAACAACGAGTTCCGCTACGAGCTGAGCGATCCATCGGGCGCGTTCTCGGTGGATCCGCTGACGGGCTGGCTGACGGTGCAGGACCAGAGCGTCCTCGACCGGGAGAGCAAGTCCTTCCTACAGATGAAGGTGTTGGCAGTGGAGAAGCAGCCGAGCGTGGTCAAGCCCTTCAACGGCTCGTCGTCCGTCGATGTGGAGGTCACTCTGCTCGACGCCAACGACAACAATCCCGTCTTCGTGCCCGCCAATTTGCTCGAGCTCGTGGCACACAGCGACTTTGCAGTCGGCACCATTGTCGGACAGGTCAGTCCAAGTCGGCACGGCCGCCGGCAGCGGCGCAAGGCCCCCCTCTGTCCCTCTCTCTCGCACTCGCACGCTCACTCTCCCTCTCGCCGGAGTAGATGCCATCGATTTGCGGCCTAGGAAAATGTGCCAAGGGTGCAGTTGCTGCAAGCTCCAACCCATTTTACTTTTTCAAGTTTTTACTGCGATTCAAGGCGCAGCACCAGACTTGACTATTCCAAAGAGCCTACAAAGAAACTTTGACCAAGCGCACGCGTCTCACAACTCTCAATGCTGTGCGCACTTATTCAATTAGAATCTGCTGCAACTGATTGCAGTAAAGAGAAAAAGAGGAAAGTGCTAAATGTACGTAGTTGGCGCTGTCTGTCGCATAAATTTGCACGCACGAGCCATTGCAATAACGCCCACGTGCTGCGACAGAGAGAGAGAGAGAGAGAGAGAGAGAGAGATGCTCGCGTTGCTTGCAATAACAGTATATTCCGAGAAACAACGGTCCAACTGCCTAGTCCCCCCGTGTCACGCCCTAATGCCGAGTTATGCGCGTGGGATTTTTGCTGGATACTCTTTGTTTGAAAAGCTGTGCGCTTCCGAGCGACTAACGTTTACCGTAGCGATTGATTTTATGAATTTGAAGCTATTGGCTTGAGCTGGTCTGTGACTGTACAGGTGCACGCGGTGGACAAAGACCAGGGTACGAACGGACTGGTACGCTACCGGTTGCAGCGTCCAGGAAATTTTAGTGGGACAATGCCATTCGCGGTGAACCCCGAGACCGGAGTGATCACAGTCTCCGAGAGCCCGATCACCGTGGGCCGGCACGCCATCTTCGTCGAGGCTTTCGATCAACCAGCCAACCCCAGCGAGAGGCGCTCCTCCCTCGCTGTCGTCACTGTAGACGTTTTCCAGCCAGACGGTCAGTGGACTCGATGTATACGTCGATCTATAAATAGCGCGGTAGCGCCCATTGTCGGATCAATTTTTTTCTTCTTTCGCTCTCACTTTCGCTCCGCGATCCGATAAACCATTAAGCCCCGCGTAATGCTCCGTCCTCATTCGAGTACAACGCACATTGTTATCGACGTACAAGTGCCATTCATTTGTTTCCGTTTCATCTGACGCACGTTATTTTCTTATGACTTGTGCTCCAAAGGCAAAGGATCCAAGGCCCCGGATTTCATAGGAGCGCCTTACGAGTTCTGGGTCGGGGCGAACGTGCCGGTGGGCACTAGCGTCGGCCAGATCAGAACGAACGAGGCCGTGCAGGGTAACGATATAATCTACGATCTGCTGCACAGCTACCACGAGGGAGGTAAGTTATTGCCAACGCCGCTGAATTAGCCGCGCCATTCGTTGTTCGGCTCTGACGTGGCCCATCGCCTATTTTTGAAATTCACCGCGGCTCTCGTTGCGACACGTCGTAATGGATCTTTTCGGAAAGATTTGCACAAAGACGCGCGGAAAATACGTGTTATTCCGAAAGAATTGGATGCGGCAAGCGCTTAGTTAGCCAAAGCGTAGAATAATCAGACTCGTCACGAGCGAATGACAATTACGATATAAGTTTGCATAATGGCACCGGAGTTTTAATGACAGTGGGGGCGAGTTGCGAAAACACTGACGAAAACGCTGTCTCTGCCTAGTGCCGTTCGCCGTGGAGGAGCGCTCGGGTACGATAACAGTGGTCGACGAGATCGACCGTTACAAGCAATCGTCCTATGACTTCGAGGCTGTGGTAACGAACGAGAAGAGTCTGAGCCTCGTGACCAACGTTTCCATTCACGTGGTCAATCCCAACGACGACAGCGGCATTTTCAGCAAGTAAGTGCGCAGAAAACTTCCGCTCGTTCGCGCTCGTTCGGCGACAGCCCATTACGCCTTCGGTGGCTAATAAGCTCGGTTGTTATGACAGTCAACACTATTTCCTTTCTTTCGAAGCTCTCTGCTCCCATTTACGCGCGAGCTGGATCCTTCTAGTCTTTTATAGCTCGTTTCTCCCGAGGTCGGCGAACGCCACATTGGAGCTTTTCCTTGTATTCTTTCGCTGGCAAGCCACAACCGATAACCTTCTCGCCCTTCTCGCTCGATTTACCAACGGAAATTTCACTTCTCTTTTCTCTCAACACCTCGACACAACACCTTTGTTCGTTTGCTAACAACAAATGATTGTATATTAATTCGTCAGGCTCATTGCATACTGTGACTGAAGCAATTATTTTGAGCTTCCTGTTGGCAGCTTGCTCGTTTCATTCTATTGATTTTATACTTATTGGATATTGATATCCAAGGACAAAGCCATTAAGTAGACATTCATTATTCTAATACGTTCATATTAGATACTAGCCAGTACCTGAAAATTATTGATTTTACATCATTTTCCAATTGGAACAAGAGAGCTTAGGTCAAGAAAACATGCTTACTTTGCCAAGCAAGCAGTAATCCGCATTGGCAATTGAACTGGCTCACTGTAGCTTAATGTGCATTGTGAACCGATAGAGCTGATCTACGAAAGCTCCGTCTGTCTCTGATGCAAGAGAGGCTGTGTATTATTGATCAACATTTAAGACGGCACGTGCACCTTCTCAAGCAATTCTCATTAATAATTGAATATGTAGGATAGAGAAGCGCTATCTTTCATGCTGTACCAAAGTTTATCTTCGGAAAAGTTTTTGCCTTGCCGACACTTGGAATAATCAATTTATTCAGTGTGCCAACAACTGCAAAGAAATCGTCTGGAGTGCAGTTATCCGCGGTTCATTTATCGTTGCTCTATGAGTGCCTAAAAATAGACAGCAACAAAATGAGATAATAAGCCGCTGGCATCGTTAATCACGTCTGCATCACACTTGCAGAGGAAGGACGAAGGCGCCGCTGGTTTTTCACGTGCGAGAGAATGCCGCTGGGGCGTTTATCGGACAAGTAGTGCCAGTCAACGCCAGCAGCAGCACACTCAAAAACTTGCGTTTTCTCATCGCTAATCAGCAGGACGTTTCCGAGATTGCCATCACGGACACCGGAGCTCTCTACACTCCTAGCGGCCTTGACAGGGAGAAGCGACAAAATTACAGTCTCACAGCCATTGCCGAGAGTCCACGAGGAGTTGGCGTTTTTCAAGTAATTTCAAGGGCTTTTCCAAAGCAAAGCTCGGCTCTCTTCCTCAAGCTCTCACTTTTAACACCAACAAACAATCAAATAATCTTGTAGGCTACGGCTAATCAATTGAAATACATATAACATTCAGGTGCTGGTAATCGTCGACGACGAGGACGACAACGCGCCAATATTTTCAGCGAGTACTTACGAAGGACGCATCTCTGAAAATAGTCCGCCTGGCGCGGAGGTGCTCATGACAAATCACATATCGGCGCGAGATCCGGATGAGAGCGCCAACTTCACGTTCAATCTGAAAGGCGAGGGTAGCCATCTATTCCGGATCGATCAGCCGACTGGACGGCTCTTTTTCATCGGTAACTCCTCGGATTTACTTGATCGCGAGGAAAAGCCTCTTTACAACCTTGCCATCGTCGCCGGCGAGGGAAGTAAGTGGAAATTTCGACGTCCTCCGCCCCGTCGCCCCGTCGTCCTCGTCAATAAGGCGTCTCTCTCCAATCCTATTACAAAAGACAGAGCTCACTCAAATTTCCATTGAAAATCACTTGACTCTAGTCAGACTATTGCACTCGCTGGAGCTACTCACTGGAAATGTATTTTTGATATTCCAGATAAGAAGTCGTCGAACGTCTCGCTGAGCGTTCGCGTTACCGACGAAAACGACAATCCGCCGAGCTTCACCCAGATGGTCATTCTGCCGGATCAGGGCATACGAGTATCAAAGGACGATTTATCGAACGTGCGCCAATCGTCGTCGTCGTCGTCGTGGCTGGACGAAGCCGCTCCGACGAAGCTGGCGTCCGGTGGCATCGATCACCGATCGCCGCTGCTGTACGTACCCGAGAACGTGACGATCGGAGCTCCCATCGTCCGATTGCTGGCGCGCGATCCCGACGAGGCTCGCAATTCCGAAATCACCTACGGCATTATGTCGGAGATGGGCTCGAGGACATTCTTCGACACGAAATCCAAATCGAGCGCGACAGTGAAGCGTTACTTCGTCATGGATTCGAGATCCGGTGAGATTTCGGTGGCCGGCACGCTGCCCGCCGAGACCGACATCGTGCTCGAGATTGTCGCCAGCGATTCGGGTGGACTCACGGATAACGTCACCATTCGCATCCGCGTGTTCGACGTTAACGACCACGCGCCCGTCTTCAAGCAGGACTGGTACTCGTTCGACGTGCCCGAGGGCACCTTCAAGAGGTTCGAAATCGGCAGAGTGGAGGCCGTCGACGCCGATTACGGCGACAACGCCAACGTCACTTACGAAATAATGCCTGGCAGCTTGGACAAATCGGCAAAGTTCGAGATAGCCAGGTGAGCCAGCAAAGCACTCGGCTGCCTTGAAGCGCCCGAACGTAACGCGCACCATTTGCATAGGTATCGAGGGTCACTGCTGGTCACTGGCAGCCTCGACAGGGAAACGCGCGGGCTGTACAATTTCAAAGTGGTTGCCCGTGATAACGGCACGGTTCGCATGTCGTCGAGCGCCGAAGTGGAAATACACGTGCAGGACGTGAACGATAATCCGCCAACTTTCTACGGTTACCAAGAACTCGGAAAATTGCCGAGCTCGCTGGTGGACGTGCATCGAAAGGACGCCAAGCAGCGATTAGTTCCGATTTATTACGCCTCGCTACCGGAAAACAGCCAAATGGGCACCTCCGTCATCAAGATCCATGCTAACGACTCGGATTTCAGCGGCAACGGAAACGGCGTTATCCTCTACGACCTTCCGCACGTTAGAGGCCACATGCAGTACTTTGCCATTGATAGCAAGGAAGGCCTCGTTACCACTATCGGCAACCTCGACTACGAGACGCTGGTAATTATGAGCGCTCGTTTGCGTTCGCACACCGTATGCTCGATTGACCGATTGTTTTTTGAGCAGAACGTGCACACCGTCACGGTGACGGCCAGCGACTTAGGATCCCCGAGTCTGACGTCCACGGCCCTATTGATCGTCAGAGTCTTGGACGTGGACGAAGGCCCGGCCGAGGTGAAAAGGCCAGTGTTCCAGCACAAGTACTACGAAGTGGAAGTCGAGGAAAATTCAGCCGTCCCGATGAAGATTCTCGATCTCAATGTATCGGACGTACACAAAGACGAACAAATGCGCTACAGTATCGTGGTGGACGGCAGCGACGTCAGAGATCATTTCTCTCTGGAGCCAAAAAATGGCTCGCTTTATTTGTTAACGAGCCCAGATTATGAAACTAGGCAGAGATACGAGCTCAAAGTCAGGGTGGACAAAGTGAAGACTGCACGGGGCATGCCGGTGATGATTTATCCAGTGACGGGCGAGAGGCTCAATGGACTGGGGCCAAACGAAGCTAAGATCATAATAAAGGTAAAAGACGCGAATGACAATGCGCCAAAATTCAAGACAGACGGCAGGCCATTTGTGGCAGCTGTGTCCACCTCCGCGCCTTACGGCTACAACGTCATTAAAGTCGAGGTGAGCTATACTTCGGCCCTTTGCGATATCCCGCCAAGTGTCGAAGTAGCCGAATGTTTAATCGTCGCGCTGACTAACGATCACCGCGACGCATAACTGTAGACGCTGTAGAGCATTAACGAGTAAGCTCGGGCAGCGAGAATAATAATTGAATGCGCTTTGAAGGCGGAGGACCCGGATGAGGGAGCGAATGGACAAGTGCGCTATCAGATTCTAGCCGGCCGGGAGCACTCGGCCGGGGCAGCCAAATTTGCCATTGACCCAGTGAGTGGTCAAGTGCAGACGGCAGGCAGCTTCGCCAAAGACGCGGACCGCGTGTTCGGATTCGATGTCAAGGCCATAGACATGGCGGGTGCCGAAGACGGACGCAGCAGCATCGCCAACGTCTTTGTAAGTCTTTGCAGCCAACCAACTCCCATTGCCAGCGGCACGCGCGCGAGACAGCTGTTAGTTCGCTTTACGTTATTTATCACCAGTGCAGCCCAAGCCAAGCGCGAATTACAACTGATTATTGCTCTCTCAGCTTGTTTCCTTTCCTCCGATAAATTGTCCTAGATCTCGACCACTCTCGCTCCAACGGCAATTCCGTGATTAATTTTTCGGAAATTCGCTTAGTCGCTCTCGAGGACGAACCATTTTTTCCTCCGAGACCTTCGCCATATTACGTTTCTTCGAGTCAAAGCTTTTTTACTTCAATCGCATCGTTTTATATTTCTCCTAGGTCTACGTTCTTGATGATAATAAACAATTAGTCATGATAATGGGCATGAAGCCCGTGGAAGTCCAAACGGAACTCGAAAATATCACCAGGTAAGAACGCCATTCTTCTTTTTGGCAATAGCAAAACTATTCAAATCGAACATTATTACTTGTCAGCGCTTTGCAAAATATCACCGGATTGAATGTTCGAGTTCGAAAGATAGAACCTCATCTCGAAAAAAATCTCGTAGATGTGTCTTCGTAAGTATTTAGTTAATTGTGACAACTCGTGCGAACCTCGCGATTCTGCAGAGCGATATTTTATTTCATAACTTTCAGGAGTGACGTGTATTTGTACGCTGTCGATCCAAATATGAATGTCATGGTGGATACTGATACACTCCAAAGGTAGAACCCGAAACACAGTATGTATGTGTGTGTATAATTCGGCGAAATTAATTAAATTATGCAATTTTTCAGTGTTTTCCGAAACAAAAAGTCAGAGATCAAGCGCGAGTTAGAGCGCTACAAAATGTTGGACATCGCCAACGGCAAGCCCCGACGCGCGAATCAACACTACTTGCTGTCAACTCTCGAGGTTGCAGTCGTCGTGTTGGGCTGCGTGGTCTTCGTCGGTGCCTTGGTCACGGCTCTCTGCATCACGTGCGTTCGACGAAATAAACGGTAGGTAAACAAACAGCCGCACATCCATTAGAGCTTGCTACTTCCAATTTTTTGCACAATTCATCAGGATACCCTACACTTGTCGATTCTTCTCTGTTTGCGCTTTGGCTAACTTTTCTGGTTTTTTTTTTTATTTTACTTTTGCTTAACAGCTTTTTTCTAGCGTCTAACAAAATTACCAAGTAAAATGCCAGACTATCTGTAATTTTTAAATGTATTTTTTAGTCCGTTACAGTCACGGAAAAAAAAGTATTTCACTAATATTAATATTTTGTAGATCAGTTTGTTCAATAAAATGCTTATAGTAATTTATTTACATTATTCTACTTTCTTATCTACACGCTTATTCAATGACGATAACTATCGTCACCTACGTAATTTTCTTAGAGCCATGGTGTCATCAGCAAATAATACTTTCGCATCTTATTTTCTTATTTACTAATTGAGACCGCAACAAAACCTTTTCTCATTTATCGGACGTTGGAATATTTCATGAACATTATATAAAAATACGAATACCGTAGAGAAATCAATCGAATATCTATTTGACTAATATGCCTGCCTGACTATATGCAGAGTGCATCTACTTGTAGTTATGAATAAAAAAATAACGGCTAATTTATAATTAGCAAGTATTAATTGTGTCGCTAGTTGAATGCAATTGAATGAGAGTAATGAAGGATCTGGCAGAAGCACGTAGCATTAAAACAAGTGGCTAGGTATTACTAACTAATTTGCAATGAAATTCGATAGGCAGCTGGCGTTTGGTTGGCCTTCGATTAGAGCTATAATCCAATAGCATGCGCTGATTAATCGCGAGTAAACTAGTTAAACTTAAAAAAAAAAAAAAAAAAAAAAAATAAGCAGCCCTGCGCTAGTTTTCACGCGAGTGCTTGGTAATTTCGTTCTCGCTGCACATCGTCGCCGCGCAGCCTTGAACTCTAATACTGCACGCTTGAAGAGTTTATGTCGCGGAGCAACGGATTTTCAAGGCGGTGCTAGAATAGGGCGCGCGCAAGCCTCGCCAAGATCGTTCAAAATGATCGTCAATTAAAATCGAAGAATTAGCGTAAACACAAGTGCCGCGAGGAAGCAGCAGAGAGATTTAACGATCAGCGTGGATGCTCATGTGTGTGTGTGTGTGTGTGTTATACAGTCGCGAGCGTTACGGATCGAGCGTATTCCACACGAGCGCCCCTCTGGGTTTCGCCTTGGCCGAGCCTGGAGGCAGCGGCGGCACGCTGCAGAAGCCCTCGCTCTTTCCCTCTTACGTCGGAGGACTTCATCATTACGACCCGGCAGCCTCCTTTTCCGGCGAGATGCGCCAGCACAGCTTCTGCGAGCACGAGCCCAATTGCGTCCGCTTTCACAGGTAGCCATCCTACCTGCGTACACGTTGCTCGTCATTGCGAGCTGTGCGCCAAACTGACTCTCAACGCTGCTTGCTTGCAATCATCAGCTGCAACAATGTGAACGCGGGCAGCGGAGCTGGCGGAAAACGAGCGGGCACAACTCGAGCGGCAGCGGCCTTAGAGACGTCGGCTACCTCGCTACACTCCAGTGGACAGGACTCGGGTATCGTCACCGGCGGCTTGCGCGCCTGCCACTGCAGCAACTCCTCCACTCCGTCCAGCGGCGAAAGTAGCAAGTCAGTCTTTTACCGGAACTCACAAAAGTAACTCGCCCCTTCGCTTTCAATCAGCACAAATGCTCGCTTCTTGCACTCCTTTCTCACTCAGTTTTATCATTGTACTTGCTTACACTTTCTCAAATTATAATTAACAAAGCCCCCTTTTTTTCATTATTCAATTCTCCAGTCGAGGATCTTCTTTCAATCTCATCGCAAATCACTATTTGCAAGCACACATTTATACACATGCGCGCGCACGATCGCGTTTATTGTTTTAATTTTATTCGCGTTAATCTTTTATTGTACGTTATTTATGTGTTTAGCAGCTGATTACTAGAGAGATCGCTTGGTTTCCTTAAAAATTTTAAGGAAAACCTTACTAATATGAATAAGTTGGATGCCCAACTGATGCAATACTTTTGTTCTTCGACTCGAAAACGATTGGACTGTAGAAACATGTAGCTTAGTATAACTCAGACCAAGATTTCGCACGATTGACGTGCTTGCTACATGTATCATCTTCCGCGAGTACCATATTGAGTTTGAAAATTTACGTTGGAAAATTATCAACGGCATGTTAAATAAGTCAAGCAATGAAACTTAATTGAGCGCTCAATGATTTTATTAACAGACACGCAATAATTATCTTTTTTATTAAATGACGCATACTCTGGCTATTTCCGTTATTTCCGACTGTCATTCATAATGATAAAATTGAATGTTCCCGAGTGATTCAGATTAAAAAATATTATCATACGAAACGCAAACAAAGTAAACAGAAAAGTTTTAAATTGGAAATCATGTGACAGATGTACGGATTGTAATGAAATGAGTCTGATATGAAATATTTTGGTTCACTGATATCTGAAATATTGCAGTGGTTACGAAGATTCGCTGAAATCTTTGCACCATCAACATCGTCATCACCATCAACATCGCAGTCGCGGCCACGACGCTCGGCGTGCCAGTACCAATCATTCTAATAAGAATGCTAAGGGCAACACAAGTCACAACGAAAATCCATCGCAGTTGTCTCACAAACGACATAGATTCCATTCGTTTACAAATTTGGAGTCGATATACCAGCTAGAGCCCGCTAATAGCAATCTTCAATGTGAGAGGCGTTTCCAGACGATGCTACTTGATCAAAAACAACGCGTAGGGTGAGTAGAAAAAATCTCTGGTGCGCGGAGGGCAACAGCAGTGTCGAATTAACACGATGCAATGAACGACTGTTTGGCGTACAGTAACAATGGAGTAAGTAATACGATGGCACTGTATTCAACGGCGCACCGACGCACATTTTCCGAAGCAGAGAATCTGAACAACATCACGGAGACCGTGATCCAAGAGCATCCAATGCCTCCACGTTCCCTTGGTCCAATCGGAACTCTACCCACTGCTACCTCGTCTTTTCTACACGGCGGCAAGGGCAAGTTGACGGGGACGGCCGCGGCAGCGGGTGGTCTTGCCACGACACTTCGAAGTGCTGACAGCGAGCGCGTTATTTACGCCAGACCAAGAAGAAACGTCACGTAAACGCCTCTAGACACATACACAAGTGCGACGACGATCAATTGGCACAACTGCCACGTCCTTTCTGGTCATGCGCTTCGTCTTCATTAGCCACTGTTTTTCAAACTAACCACTCTCTAATCAATATTTTATCAAATTGCACGTGCCCGAAATAGCGCGTACTTTCGTCGCTTACACGACTGTCTCTCTTCAATTTCATTCGATCGATTAGCAGTATTACATAATGATAAATTGTAAAAATATTTTATAGTATATTTTTATATTTCTTCATTGTAATTTATTTCAACATGTACATTTTACATAAGGACATTGATTCCAATAAAAATGGATAATTTTACTCTACTGTATATTACATCAGCCCCTCCGCAATGCTCACGTTAAAAGCAATTCGAACATAGTTTTGAAAAAATCTTTTCGAGAGTACTGATGTGCTCTGAAGAACAGTAATGGATGATGAAACAAACGGAGGATTGAAGATTCCGCGTACAAGATAATTTTAAGGCGAATTTATTAAGAGAAAAAGGATGATAAGAAGATGAAAGAAGATGCGCAGTGAAAAGCGCACAGGCCGTGTATAAAAGTAAGTAAAATGGAAAAGTATTGAAGGTGCATCGAAAGCACTACTGTGTCAAGGTCGAGCTAAGCGGTGCGTGGAAAAAGTGCGATAAACTTCACGGCTCGACGCACTTTTTGTAGCGACGGCAGTATTTGTATACGTAGAGTAACTGCAAGCGCCTTTTCCGCGTACACGTCTTTGTCATATGTCAAGGTTGCAGACACCGCGCAACGGCCACGTTTCGACTGCTGAAGACGAGGGCCAGAGCCTGCGCCCTTCCGCCTCCATACTCAACTCATTCTAAAGCGCCGAAAATTGCTTTTCCGAGTACACCCGAATGTACGAGTGCGTAGCTCCACTTGATAAACGCCTCACGCGCTTCCCAAACCTCCATGGCCCTTGACTAACTTTTTCAAAGTCAAGCCACTGATTCCGGCCTTACGATTGCATCACAAAGGCGCCCATGGCTACGGCAAGCAACCCAAGGGAAATGCTGCTTTATCCCTTGAATACCAATTATTATCCACCCTTGCTATTGTCCGCCTTGCGGATCCTTTTTATTGACAATGCCGCACAATCAAAACTACTCGCAGCTGGCTTATTCGCTAGTGTTTGAACAACTTGTCAAAGCAAAACTTTTTTTACTTTGGGTAGATGCAACCGCACAATTTGCATGAAAATGATCAAGAGTTGCTCCAGATGTATACGCAGTATATAACAACCCAAATAGCCACTAAATTACAATTACTTCCTTAAATATAATAAGACAACGAAAGATGCTCTTGTTCTTTGATGCAAACAGGAACAAACGTTCTTGATATTTAGTTAAACAGGCGCATTTTCCGCGAGAAACTCAGCAAGTCCCAATGACAAACCAGCGAGTGAATCAGTTTTACTTACAAATTAGTGAAAATCACTATTAGATCAGTAAGTAGGTGATAGGATTACGTGAGCATTGCAACTTGTAGAAGACACAGTTTCCGTACAAGAATGTAAATTATTTTCTCATGGAGCCTAATAGATTGGCGTCGATTAATTCATACATGAATAAGAAATGCTCTCTAGCGCCTTCAGTCGAATAAGCAATAAACTGAAATTGGAAAAGTTTGAAGTGCAAACGTTGTTATTTCAGAAGTTATCCGAGCGAACAAACAACGATAGATAGATCTCGACTTGCTATTGATTTAGCTATGAAATTGTGTACTCGTCTCGATTATTCGATAACTCGATCGTCGCAGCCATTCATAAAGTAAACGTTATGATTATTTGTTGATTGAGCCAAGACAGCATTGCAGATATAGAGTTTCGGTATTCTTTTGGCAAAAATGTCATTAACGGGAGAACAAGCGAGAAATGATCGCAGTAAACAGCCACAAATTAAAAGCTTTTACGAGTGTTTATCAGGAGCGTCTGGCGCAGTATTGTGACGGCAAAAAAAGGAAACGCGAGATAAAAGAGAAACAATCGAACGATCAGCGTTACACACAGATGGATAGCGCACCCGACACGCACACACAGGTATAGTGCAATAAGCGCTGGGCACGAGCGCGAACGGCGCGCCAAACAATGCGCCGCGCCGAGCGAAAGAGACGCTCGGATCAAGGATGAGCGCCGCGGCGAAAGCAAAAATCCAATTAGCCGTGTGCAAACAGAGCGACTTGCTCGAAAATTCAATTTGCCCGAGGTATGCGTTATAGGCTACTGAAAAACCGCAAACTAGACGTGTCCACTCGTTCGACGGCTTTTTTACTCCCTCCCTTTCTCGTTATTTCGCGTTCACGACCTCGCAACACTGTGCATTTCTTTTGGGCTTATTCGGACACATTTCGTTATTTCACGCGCACTCTCTCTCTCTCTCTCTCTCTCTCTCTCCATCTCTCTTCCTTTCGTTTGATTTCCACGAGAAAGCTCGATATTATCCGCAGCAGCGTTTTAGCTTTTAGAGCTTTTAATATTCATGACTCTATCTGCTCCCTTTTCATTGGAAAAATGATTTTGATCGCTGCCACCTCTGGCTCTCTCTCCATTCCGAGCGAATCATCGGCGGTCTTTAACTCAAGGGGCGCTCCTATTATAAATTGAAATATCGGAAAATTTTCGCTGACTGCCGCATCAAATTTGCATGTCAATATATCGAATTAATTGGCGCGCTCGATCACAGAGACGCCGGTTGTTGTGCGTTTGACAGACGCGCGACTCGTCGCCGGAGTCTGTCAACTAAATGGTAATGAAAAACTCGTATGCTCTGACGTACGCTGGCATTGGACTCGTTTTCCATAGGCATGTATCGATAAATAACTCGAGCGATCGCTCGAACGCGACCTAGAATTTGAGGAATATTTCATAAATATTCGAATATTTGCGTGCGGGCCTAAGCTGCCGCTAGCGAGGCAAGGCGAGGAGAAAACACGGGGAAGTCGCTCTTGAGATTTTGGCGCAAGTGCAGGTGTACGTGTGGTTGGCTATCGCGGACCGGCTGTGTATCGCTTTGGCTCGTAGTACACACGCGGGCGCGTAAGTAGTGGAGCGAGAGAGCGAGAGAGAGAGAGAGAGAGAGAGGCGACGCTTGCGCAGTCGTGGAAACGCGTGGCGCTCGGTGTGCAGTTGGCGAGGACTGAGGAGTCGGGCAGGCAAGCAGGCAGGGAGGCACGAACCGTGCGAGGCATCTCCGCTCGCGAGCCAGTTGTCCGCCGTCACCGCTCCGGGCAGCCTCATTGCTGCGCGGCGCGCCACCAGCTCTCAGCCAGCAGCTCCTCGATCATCAACGAGAATCATCTCGACGCTCCAATTCGCCCAGCCACGGCTTATCTCCAGCGACGTGCCGAGGCTCTCTCGGTCAAGCAGCCCGGCCGCAGCCAGTGCCCGGCGCCCGACAGCCCAACAAGCTCGAGAGCCGCTCGCGACTACGAGACCCACGACTACTCGGCCTGATTTCCCGATCTAGCGAGCCGCAGTCGAGAGCAGGCGGCCGAGCGAAGCCCGCAGTCAGCGAAAGCTCCTCCGGCATCGCCGCCGGCGGCCCGCGCTCGTGCTCGAGTGCCAGCGACGAGTCCTCTTCTGCGCTGTCGAGCTCGGCGCCAAAGCCGCCCAGCGAACTCGAAGCTCGCTAGCTGCCGCGTCAGCTGTGCTGCGGCACTTGGCCCGGAAAGCGGCGCGGCGCAGGCGAGTCCGGACTGCAGATCGGATGCGCCACCCCGGCAGCGGCCCCACCGCCCGCGCCCATGCTGCACGAGCTAGGCCTAGCTCAGCCGGCGTTACACTCGCAACGACACCAGCACCACCACCAGCTCCACCACTGTCGCCAGCAGCAGCACCACCGCCAGCGCCAGCAGCAGGACCGAGCGCCGCGCCGGACCCGGCAGCAGCAGTTGCAGAAGCGCGGCAGCAGCCTGGGCCTGAGCGCCGCCGCGGCGGCGGCCGCCTCGTCGATGCTACAGCCGCCCTCGAACCTGCTGGAGATGGCCTCGCTCAGGCTGCCCGACTCGGACGACTTCGAGCTGGAGCGTAGGCACGGTGACCTGCAGCAGCAGCAGCAGCAGCACCACCACCACCACCACCACCACCAGCAGCTGCCCACCAGCCCCAGCGGCCAGCTCGGCGGCTACCTGGAGCTGCGCAACCGCGGCGGCGGCGGTGGCGGCGGCGGCGGCGGCGGCGGCGGCAGCAGTCGGGCCGAGCTGTTCGCCGAGTACGTCAACGGCTCGATGCAGGACCTGCTCGTGATCGCCGGCTCGCCGTTCGCCGAGCAGCAGCCCCACCAGCCGCACCTGCTCGCGGCCGGCGTGGTGGGCCCCACCCACCTGCTCAACGCCACCGGGCCGGACGCCAACCTCTCCGTCGAGCAGGTCACCGACCGCCTCTACAGGCACAGCGTCGCCATGTCCGTCGTCTACTTCGTCGCCTACTGCCTCGTCTTCGTCGTCGGCCTTATCGGCAACAGCTTCGTCATTGCCGTCGTCTACCGCTCGCCCAGGATGAGGACGGTCACCAACTTCTTCATCGTCAACCTCGCGGTCGCCGACATCCTCGTGATCGTCTTCTGCCTGCCCGCCACCCTCATGAGCAACATTTTCGTCCGTGAGTACGCTTCTGTTCTCCTTGGTCCTGCCTGCGACGACGCGCCTCCTTGCCGAGGGAGCTCGTTCGAATTCCGCGCCACAGCGCACTGCGCTCTCTGCGGGCTCTTTGCGGATTCTCGCGGCAAAGCTCCCCTCGAAAACCTGCCTCCGCTCTTGTTTCATCTCCGCGACAAGCCAGCTCTTTCGTACCATTTCTAGGCGCGATCTTTCATCTGTGAAATCGCCCCTTCGCTTTTTCAATACTAAAGCCCTTGTAAGCACGTTCGATCTTACAGCTCGATAATAGTCAACATTTTATCCAAATAACCATTTTCAACTACTAGTGCATATTGAAAGGTGAAAACTATTTTTTTCTCGATCATTAATTCGCCTTTATGGCTTATCGATTGATGCCTCCAACTTTCGCGTATACATGTACTTACGTTTTTCAAGCACATTAGCCCAGATTCCTTTGCAGTATAAGAGCTTTTGATGTATCAATATCGATTCCTCCATTTGATCTCCAGACTTTTCATGTTCATATTTTTAAACTTTAACGTGATCAACATTGTTTTTAAAAGACTGAGCAAGTACTTATAAGATAAGATTACTAATTTAAAGTCCAGTACTCTCCATCTATTACCGCGATCTTTTAAAAGTTATCATCAATCTTTGACCGACTCAAACAGTTCGAAGCAACTTTTTAACGAGAATTCCTGCTGTAGTGATTTTCCCCCAAGAACTTTGATGTAAAGCGCTGAAAAATTGATGTTGAGTTTTAATTTTCCGATCAAGAAAAGAATCCCTTATCTTTTTTTTTAATACGATCCACGTATACTATATCTTGATCTCTTTTTCATGCACTCTGCTGCTGGATAATACACGTTTTTTTTTTAAATAGTTGTTGCATAGGTAACGAAATATCGATCCCTTGACTCAAAGCTGGAAAGGATGTGTGCTCCATTACGGCTATAAACATTTGAATATCGAAGTTAGATTATGCTTACCTGATTACGTTACACAAGATAATAACGCAACCAATAAGTTGTTTGACAAACAAAACACGATGATACTGTTGTAACTTTTTAATTCATAATTGTGTGCGATGTAATTGCATGAACATTAATATATAAGGTAAGATGTGTTTTCTTCGATAACTATACGGCCAGGCAGCAAAGGATGAAGAAGAGATTGCTTAAAAAAGGCCCATCGGAAAAAAGTGGAAAAGTTACGCAACAGGGAGAAAGCAAGAGTACTGGCGTACGTACAAACATGTTTAGCTCTATCAATGTTGAAAATGTTTTTGTAGCGCAGTACCTAGCTCGAGGACCCTTCATAATTGCTTCTGGCAATAATATTTGGCCTTCGACCTTCGCAAGCCGTTTTCTTGTCCGCATTTCCGCAACGTACAACTTTCGCGAGACTAAAGTATTATGTAATTATTCTTGCTCTGATGTTATTTTTTTTTTTTTTTTTGTTTTTTTCGAAATTATCCCAGTGCACTAATGAGATCATTAGCATGCGGTTGTCGTTGCGTCAGGTGGCTTTCAGGGTCTATAGTTTATTGCAGTCGCCTGAACAGCAGGAGGTGAAAAAGTGAAGCTATCAGCCGCCTGGAGATGTGCTGTTAGTCGAGATAGGCGATACATGTTCACTCGACTCTTCATGATTATCGGTCGGTCAACAAGTAACATAATTTTTTGCGCACATACTCATTCCAGTATGCACATATGTTTGTTCACTAAATTAACGATACTATATACTTTCTTCGTCTATACGAATTTACACTCTTGCTCAATGATGGCTATCATTCCGTTTATTCACGTTCCTTCAAAACAAATTGAAATTGACGTAATTTGAAACATTTTTGAAAAATTAGTAGAAATTTAATAACAAAAATATTGCAACTTCTTTTTCAACAATTTAATTGTTTACTTTCGGAAATGTGTCAAAAACTTTTACTTATACAGAACACTTTTTACTTCTATTTTATTAAAAAGTTTTTCAACTTAACTGATTTGTTTTGTTAAGCTGAGTAAAAGTGACAATTGTATTGGAATATCAATGAATCTCTTAAAGCGTGAAAATTTGAAAATATCTAATGTTTCAATGTATATTTCCCAAATGAAGATATTTTTTAAATAAAAGATAACTATTTTATATTAATTATTGACTGCAAAAGTAAATATTCGTAAATAAAAGTAATTAGGTAAGTTTGCTAAATGTATACGATTAATCAGTTTTATTAACTGCTTAAAAATTATTAAAAAAAATTAAAATATATCGCATGCAGCATCTGAAATGTTAATCAATATTTTTCAAATTTCCAAAAACTGCAATTTCGTACTTTAAGTAACGTTATTTTAAATACCCATATGTTTTCGAATAATAAGTGAGCGATTATTTGGTGAATTTTGGTAAAAGCGCGCTCGCAGTTCGCATTTGAGAGGTAACCGTAGACTACTAACTCTACTAACTATGTAATTGTACCAAACGGGGTACCTGAACAAATAAGAAATCTCTCAGCTTTAAGGATAGCTCGTCAATTTATTCGTTTTCCTAGCCAAAAATTATTTCTTTTGATTCACAATTCAAATGGCGAAATCAGATTTCAACTGTATTTTGAAATTGAATAAATCTTGAACGTGTAATTGAGTTTGCACACACATCGTGTAAGATAATGAAAACGTGTTTAAAAAATAAGGGAGTAAGACACGGAGTAATTTCGCAGATAGTTATCTTTTGTGCAACGATGTTTATTCATTTAGATGGTAACTATATGTGGAATAGCCGTGAAGATGTAACGACAAAAATGACACTTAATGCAGCGAGGAGTGCACTAATATTAAAATGTTGGAAAATTCATAATGTTATCGATTGGAGTGCCGACAAACGATGTGCAAGCTCTTGATGGAGCACGTACGTGTCCCAGCATTAATCACAGCTCTATATCCAATTGTAGCTTTGTTTTTCAACGACGCAGCTCGAGGTATTTCAGGCCTCGCTGGCGTCATTTTCAAGCCGCTCAATTACTCCTTACAATGTACTCGTCATTAATTATTTAGCAAGAAAACCACGCAAGCTTGATATTGGCAGTCGTCGGAAGATAGCAGCGACGACGAGCCATTGCTGCGAGGTTCGTAAGCGCCGCGATGAACTTGCGCGCTCACCGCGATCCGAAAAGACGTGATATATTACTGGCTCGGACAATCTGGATGTATCGGAGATGTCGAACACAGCGTTATTCAAATGGAAAAGCGACAGCTCGGCACGAATTTGGCCAGCACGTGGACGGTCGTCGAGCTCCGGGGAGACGCGAAAATGATCAGTCCCGGTAACGACGTACCTCGGAGAGTTCGGTAGGGCTGAGCGCGTGAAGACAAGTCGCCAGCCAGCCGACTGGTCCGCCGTGTGAAAATGACCATTCGAGGCAGCGACAGGGCAGAGCAGAGATGCAAGGGAGAGCAGCCGCGCTGAGAAATCCTTTGGCGGACGAATTGGGCTCGCGTCGGCTTTGCAGGACGTTCGCCGCGAACGGCCGGGCGTATCGATCGTTGCCGCGCGGCGAAAGGCGACGGGCTTCGGCTGATTTGCGCTCCACAGACGAGGATGCAGACACGCGCGGGCGGGCCGCGCCGGGCTGAAAAGCGCATTCGGATCTCGGACGCGGTATTGATTGCGGGGGCGGCGGCGCGGCAAAGGGAGGCCAACCTCGACGTTCGAGCCTTCGAATGCTCAGTCTGGCGGCTCCTATTGTTGAAAGCCTCGGAGCGCACGCGGCCTTACATTTGGCTAGCGGTGCAGGCGGCCCTCGCTCCGAGCCGCGATTTCCAATAACGAATTGAAAAGACCGACAGTCGGAGCTCCACTCGACACGAGATTATTCGTGCACTTTAATCAACTTGTCGGTGCCCTCGGGCGTCGCGGCGCTGTCAATACAGATACTCGGCAAACATCATTGCGGTAGGCGGGCTGAAAAACCAAAGAGCTTTTACGTCTCTGGCTGGACTTAGTCTGCGCGAGCGCGCTCTGCGCTCGTATTGAAATCTCGGCGGAAAGCGCGGGACGAAGATAGTTGGCGCGCGAGAGCGAAAAATGAGCTCGGTTACTCTCGAGAGCAGCGTTGAAAGTGAAGAGAGCGTGAATTAAGGCAGCGCGAACATCTTGCTGCTGGCGTAATTTATCTAGGGGCATAAAACAGTTGGGCTATTTAATTAAAAGTCTTTGGCGCTGCAGCGAAGCTGGAGAGCGCCAATGAATTGTTCTGAGAGAGAGAGAGAGACGGAGGCTGGCAGGCCGCCAAACATATAGGATCAGCGAACGAGAGAAGCTAAAAAAGCAGAACGCCTCGTCAAGTGCTTCTCGCGCGCGCTAGTTGCTATTCCGCACGCGGCTCTGCAGCGCGAAAGCCTCGAGGATACAGCTTTGCAGCCTACTCGGCTGTTAGGCCAGCAGACTCCAGCGTCCGCGATTCGCTCGTCAAAAGGCAGAGGGCCCGTGCGAAAATAAACCTCCTTGCGCACTCGATAATTACTCGATAAATATTCGCCGCGGTAAAAAGCTGCCGCTCCAGAGCAGTCGTCTGGCGTTGATTGGCAAACTCTTTTATTGCGAGAATAAACTTTCGCGTCTGAGCTCGCTGCTGCCAGAATATCACGCGCCAAGTTTTTCGAATACGGATCTTTTTTTTCACCTCGCGCAGATTCATTCGTACAAGGTTCGCACTTCAAGGCTGCGTGTCTTTACAGAAACTTATAAAGAAGCGTTAACGCATCGAATGCTATTACTATAGCAGTAAATCAATAGCCATCAGCGTTGCTTTCCAACTTGGCTGCATGCTAATTGCAACTGGCATTCGGAAATATTTCGGAATATTTCGGAATGACCACCGATACCGAGTATACACTGACCGTTTACGACTTTATTTATTCAACATCCGAAATCGCGATACACACGGCCAATTCGAGAGCTTCGCTCCGAAACAGTTTCATACTTTTCAAAGCTCTTATACAACTGCAG